GTTGGAGTATCATAATTTATTATTAATAGTTTATTATTTTTGACCATCTAACTAACTATACCAAAATTAAAAAAATTTTAATATGTATTTAATTAATTTAGTAAAATTATTTTATATTTTATGTGAATAGAAATAGAAATTAAAGATTGTGAATGAATTTTAAATGAATTCGCATGGGATATACTCACTCATAAAATATTCATATTGATTTGTTTAATTATAAAATAATTATTGTAAAAATAATATAATTTTTTTTTAAATATTTTTATTTTAATATTACATCATTACTTTTATATAAAAAAATAAAATAAAATTATTTTTATATTATTTTTATTTATTTATTATAATTAAAATATTATTATTCTTTAAATTAAGTTGAAATACTTGGAGTATTATTTCTAAACTTATACGTAAAAAAATAATAAATGTATAATTTTTAACTGTACGGAGAAAAAAATTGGACCTTGAGCTAATTGGATACATTTGAGTACAAATTTGAATAATGAAGAGTATTATTATTATTATTATTATTATTATTATTATTATTATTTTGTTTAGATTACAAGTTTGAAAATTTGATAGTATTAATTTTTTTTTAGAAAAAATTATCACAAAATATTATATATATATATATTTTTTTTTTTCCAATTTCTTCAAAATTTCAAAACTTTCAAAATTATTTGTCTAAACAAAGTTTCTATTTTTAACTTTTATAAATAAATTTACAAGCTACTTTTATTGTTGGTTATATATAATTTTTTTTTTTTTTAAAAAAAGTCTAATTATGGATTTGTTTGTTCAAATTTTTTTATTCGATATAATTTTTAATATATATATTTATGTTAAATTTATGTCTATTTGACTGGACACAAATTTAAATTATTATTATTTTTTAATAAAAACACTTTATTTTGAATGTTAATTTTTTGTAAGATGATATAATATATAGGTAAAATTGCTCATAATTCCGTGTAGTTTTAAAATTTATTGTAAAATATTCTTATACTTTAAAAATTGAATGACACCCCATTAACTTTAAAAAATATTGTATGAAATCCCGTCACCATTAAAACGTATGATAAGAAGATGATTTTCTATATGTATGTTTTGCATGGCGGGGGAGTTTCATACAATATTTTCGAAGGTATAAGATGACATTATGCAATTTTTTAAAGTAAAATGAGGATTTATGCTGAGTTTTAAAACCATAATGGAGTTTTATACAATATTTTTTAAAGTATAAAAGGGTGCTATGCAATTTTTAAAATAAATAAGATTTTTACGCTCATTTTCAAAATTACAAGGGAGTTAGACAATTTTGCCTAATACATATTACTCCTGGCTAAAAATGAATAAGTTTTCGAGGCAAGTTGGTTTCCAAAGTAGATATAGTAGAGGGACTAAATGGAATGTGTGTAAATAATTTAAAGTTAAATTCTCTTGAGTCAACTTTGATACTGTTCTTTTTCAAAATAATTAAGCTTAAGTTTGGGAATTTTTGGATATAATCTTGTGTGGATTTCTCCATTTAAGGGTTGATGAAAATGGAAGCATATGGTATTGGGGCTATGGGAAAAGATGATTTGGGCGTTTCTTTCTTATTTTGTCTAAAAGTATTTAGCTCACGCGTGCTGATTCCGGGCAACGGGTGGTATGGCACTCAGGCGTAGGATGACGATGTTGTTGAGCGTTGGGGACATCAGGTGGCGGGACGTGTCAGTGGCCTAGATGTTGCCAGACAGTATGTGCCGTTGTAGCTGGACCTGGGCGGGTACCGTGTGCGACTATTCGGCCACTAGGCACCGTGTGGCCGACAGTGGCCTAGATTGGGTGGCCGCCATCTGCACTGCTCGACCACTAGGCGTCCTGTGGCCTAAACTGGACGACCACCGTTTGCCGCTGCTCGGCCACTAGCAACACGGTGGCCTACCATAGCCTGTTGTATACCGGGTGGCCGGGGCATGTCGGGTGCCAGGTGCCCCATGTGTGCCGATGCCAATCGACAGGCGGTACGACATTCGGGCGTAGGGTGGCGACATTGTTGGGCATTGGACACGTCGGATGGCAGGACGTATTATGGTGGCCTAGACGTTGTCAGACAGTGTGTGCCGCTGTGGTCACTGCCTGGCCATCGTGTGCCACTGCTCGACCACTGTGGCCGAGATTGGGCGAGCACTGTATCTGTGTGCCACTGTAGCCTGCATAAGGTACACGGTGGCCTGGCATGGCCTCCTAGTATGCCTTTTGAGTGTCTACTAGGGTCACGAGGAATTTTGCTCAAAATGTATCTTTAGGGAAATGGTATCTTGGAGAGACACCGGGTGAGGATGGCCGTTTGGCCTAGCCGTGGGGCCCCAGGCGCCGACCTAATGTCGGCCACCGTGTTCCGGGCGGAGAAAGGGTCGGCTGGTGGCCGGTTTCCGGCGATGGGTCGGATGGATGTGCACGGGTCGGACGTGACACTGGCACGCACGACTCGGCGTGGCAATCCTCTGCCCGGCACATGGCTGGGTGCACCCCGAGCGACCTTCAACGATGGGCGCGGCCGGGGTTGTCAATGACGGGCCGCACAATGACGCTTGAGCCGGGGGACGGCATGCGCCGTGCAACGAGCTTGATTCCCCTCCCGGCGTCAAACTGGCGTACTACGAGACGTTGTTGGCTTCCGACTTGGGGGGCCGCAGGGCGGACAGTTGAGGAGCGCAGCCGATGCGACGTGCCGAATCGCCCTAATTTGATGACGGTATGTTGGATGTCGGAGCACATGATGGCGCTCGAGCCGGAGGATAGCATGCGCCGTGCATCAAGCTTGATGCCCCTCCCCCGTGGTGCGAAAGTATTTGCTCGTCTGGGTGTCGGTTTATGTTTTTAGCTCTGTTGGTCGTCGTTGTATCAAGTTGTATGGGTTTCGATCTGTGCATGTCATTGTCAGTTTTGGTTTGGAGATTTCTCTTGTGCATCTATTTGATGCTTTCGTTTCAGGTTTTAAAAAATACTAGGTATAATTATTTATATATTGTAATCACGATTTTCTAAATTTTATATAAAAAAATTATCTTGTAAAAACACTAAACAAGCAAAATCATTTTTAAAATTCTTTGCTTATGATTTTAAATGGATTTAAAATAAAATATTCATTTAAAATTTTATTTGAATATAATATTTTTATAATAGAAAATAATATTCCCTCGTTCCTCTAAATCATATGAATTCACTTAATTTTTTCAATTAGATTTTACTATATTAGTATTTTTTAGATAATAATATAATAACAAAATAATATTGTCTTTAAACTTATTTACTCTTCAATAATGTTAAAATATATGAAAAAATCTAAATATTTTATTTAAGAAATCGAGTAAACAAAGCAAAAAAAAACTTGAACTAGTTTTGATTTTTGAAGACTCAGCCCCAAACTAACTCGAAAATACAAATTTATACAGAAACACACCAAAAAACGCGATGAACAGAAACACACCGGCCCTTACCTACGACAAATAAAAATAATCCCCACAAGTAAAGAAACAAGGCAAAACAGAAGTCTTCACGTTGAGGGAGTCCCTTGCGGCTCAAATCTACAACACATGGGGAAAATCACCATACCAAGGAACTCCACAAAGCGGGCAACCGTTGAAGAACCGCCGGAAAACGTCGCGGGAAAGTGGTGCGAGAGAGAGGAGAGGCTAGAGAGCAGGAGTTGTAGAGAGAAGATATGAGAATGAGATTATGAGAAAGGTGCTCTGCCTCCTGCTCTTATATAGGTAGATTAAAAGGACGCAGATGATAAACATGGGTTGCGGGTCAGGGCCTAATTAGGGCAGCGGGTCGTGGGCCAAATAAGTATATTGTAAGTTGTGTCATAAATTTGATCCAGGTGTGTTTGAGCTTCATAAATGAGTGTATCTGTGTCTAAATGGGATGGATCATGTGGACAAAAAAATCCAACAAATAACAATATTATATAAAGTATACAAATAATTTTTTATTAAAGTAAAAATATTTTCATTAGAAAAATAGATAAAAATATTAAAATAGTTACATGTCACTTCGATTGAGAAAATATATTTTGATTGATTTAAAATAAAAAAAATAAATTATTTGTTTTTTAATTTTTATAATTTAATTTAATTTAAAAACCGTCAAATTTATAATTTAATTTAATTCAAAAACTGTCAAATTTCAATTTTATTTAAAAATAGCATTTTTTTAGAAAATATTATATAAAATAATTCAATTATAAAGTTCAAAAGTTTATTTGAATAAAAATGCATAATTTTATATAGACTATACCTTCATTCCCGATGTAATAAAAAATTACTATTGTATTAAATTGTTATAAGATAAAAAAAAATTATAATTTTTTTTTTAAAAAAATACAAAATTCAAATAATAAAAATCCGGCAAAAAAATAAATTCATATATTAGATGTTTTTATACTTTAAATTTAAATATGAGTATATAAAAATATTTTGATAATAAAGATTATTATATTTAAAAAATATGAATATAAACTTTAAAATTATTTTATCATTTTTATTAATAATTTGAATAAAATTTTTATTTTTATAAAATATAGGAGTACAAAATAAATAAATTAAATTTACCCTAATAATTTTACATCAAAGCCATCGCGCACCAATTCCTCCACCTTTCTTCCATTCTCCTTATTTTACTCATTCTTCTCTTTTTTGCTTCTTTTCTTCCATTTTAAAGTGAGGCATATTTTTCAAAACTGATGAACCGCCGTTCGAACCGGCGTTCGGGATTCGGAGAAAATAGAAACCAAAACCGAACCGTGTAAATCGGTTCCGATTGATTTGCGGTTCCTTGGAACCGCCGGTTTGAAACAGGCGAGCCGGTGGTTCGAACCGCTGGTTGGTTTCTTAATTGATCGGAAAAGAACCGACCGAATTATTCCGGGTAGGTTCGGGTTCCGCATCCATTGCTTGCTTGTACTTATAGGACACCATACCCTTGCGCCTCGAATTTTCAGAAGGTACAACACCATACTTCCCCAAGAACTCTGGGAATCGCCACAAATCGTTCATTCCATCCGAGTTTCGTGTCAAGGAGCCGAAGCCCGATTGAAATCAACGTTCGCCGCCGTCCATCGCATCCCGCAACCGTGTCAGAAAGCACATCGAGTAGCTATCCATGGGAGGGAGAAGTAAGAAAAGCTCGAATAAATCGAATAGGAGGGGTGGTTCACGTGGTCGAGGCCTCTTTGTGGAAGGCGGATTGTTGTCCGATTGGGCAGGCTATGGTTCTTCCCCTTCCCGAGGTCTGGATTACTTGGGGGTAATGATTTTACGGCGATGCCTTGTATTTGTTTGTAATGGTTTTCTTGTTTAGGGAATGGAAACTTGAGATCCGCGAGTGGGAATGGGGAAAATCAGGGCTCGAAATCCGACTCAGGATTTGTGTCCAAAAGGAACGCCAATAAAAACAGAGGAAATGCTATCGGTTATCACTATCCGCAGGTATTCAATTGCTCCATTGATTTTGAGTGTTAATCTTGTTCCTACAGTTTCCTCCTACTGATTTTCTTAATTTTTAATTTTGGTTTAAATGGATTATGTTTAGCAGATGAGAATCTGGTTTCTTGTTGATTGTGTTGTTTCTTCTCACGCCAAGTAATAGTTCTTTTGGTGGAATAGGTTAATCATATTCTTGTTTGAACTTGAAGTGATCATTTGATGTATTTCTTGTAATTGCTGATTTTTAGGAAGATGATGCAACTGTAAATGAAACTGAAAATCAAGGGACTAATTTCGATAAGTCAAGTCCTATAGTATTGATAAATTCGGGCAAGACGCCAATTGTCGCTTACATGGATGAGGGGCCGACTAAGGAGTTTCAAAATGTCAAGTATCTGTATGATTCGACTAGTTTTACATTGGATGAAAGCTCGCATAGAGGATTGGGGTTCTACGATGATGGGGAAACACCTCTCGAAGGTGTCGGAACCTCTTCCAAAATGGAGGAGAAAGAGAGCGATCCTCTGACCGTATCTTCCTCCGAGGAGGGTCGTATGCCGGAGATGAAATCTGGTTCAAATGCTGAAACGTCTCAGAATGTGGCAGCTCTTGAGGAAAACCTTGGTTATCTGGTTATCGGAGGGCAAAAAATATACGTACACGATACCAGCAGTGAGGAGGATGATGAAGGAGAGGATGGAGATACAGATGAAGACAGCTCGGGCTCAGATGAGGAGGATGATTCCTCTGCAACATCAGAAGAAGATGATTCGTCGTGTAGTGGTTCGGACATTGATGAGGAGGTCGCTGCCGATTACTTTAATGGAATTGGGGGTGTCAGAAAAATTGTCAATATTGATGAGCTTGTTGGACGTGTTCCTGATGTGTCTGACGATGACAGTGATTCTTCTGAAGACAGCGACGATGAAGCATTGCCAAAGATGGATTCGGATGCCTGTATGGCATCTTCAAGTGGGTACGGCTTGAAAAAGATTGGATTAGAAAGACAGTCTTGTAGAAAGGATAAAAAGCTAACACCTGTCCGGTATTCTCAGTCGTATGATCTGGATGACCTTATGTTTGTGAAAGATCCGAGAACTGTGTCGGGAAAGAAAAAGCATGTTACAAAAGTTATGCAGTCTTATCCCTCAGAAATTCGCAGAGACAAAAAAGGCAGGGCTTTGCCAGGTATCGGTTTCTGTGACGCCTAATTTATTGGTATTGTTTGTTGTTTTCTCGGTGTTTATTTAGTGCAGCCCTTTCCGTACAATCTATGATGGTAATTATTTTTTACTTTTTGCCTGATCAAATGCATCGTGTGTATACCTTCCAATTTTAGGGGAAAAAAAGAAGCACCGTAAGGAAATGATTGCGATTAAGCGTAGAGAGAGAATGATTCAACGTGGCGTAGATCTTCAAAAGATAAATTTGGTAAGTATGAAGAAACTAAATCATTTTGAGCTTTATGTTGCATTGATTTCCAATTTGAAACCTGAATTTGAATGATAACTCTTAGCTTTACTCTTTTTATGTATGAATTTCCCTTTAAAATCCCCTGATCCTCTTCCTAGTCTTTTATCAGCAAATTCGGCTTTCTACTGGATTGTACCTAATGACATGTGTATCTTTTCACGTTTCTACATACACGCACCACTTCACAGGATTTGTTTCATATTTGAACTAACTATGGACAAAATCTGTTAGTGTTAAATGAAGTGACCTCAGTTTTTTCTTTTACAATCTTGTTGGAAATGTAATGGATCACTTGTGCTCTTTGAAATCTCGTTTGACGAATAAATTTACTTTATGTAGCAATTGGAGAGGATTGTTCTTGAAGGCATAGACATGGAATCATTTCCACCAATGCACCAACGGGATTGTTCCCAGGTACGTATTGTTCCTGTGTGGAGCCAGGACCAACAAACATTTCATTTTGCCTGGAATTGTCGTTTAGTATAGAATTAATGCATACTTGCATATCCTTGTGCGATAACTTAGAATTCTGTGGAACTTCTCATTGTTGCTCCGGTGGGCATAAATGTATGTTAATAGCAGTATCTTAAATGTGTCGTTCTTAGATTTAATGTTTGTTTACTTCATAACATTATTGAATTTTTCGAATTTTGAGGCACACACATTGTATGGTCAAAGAGAATTGGAGTAATCTGATTTAATGGGATTTATTGATTCGAGCATGGTGTTTATTTTCAAGCTTGCTGCTTTTACTTAAATCTCGCTTTTCGTTTATCAGGTACGCAGATTAGCCAGCATTTATCGCTTGCAAAGTGGATGCCAAGGATCCGGGAAGAAAAGGTAAGCCTTGTTCCTTTCGTATCCGTCATTCCAATTGCGTGATGCATTTTGAGTTAAAAGTCCATTCTTCCATGTATCCGTATCGTTTTTCACATTTGGAATTGCTTTCTGAAGTAGAACCATGATTCTGTTTACTCCCCGCAGATTTGTGACGGTGATGCGAACACGCCACACGTGCATGCCGTCCTCAAGTGATAAGATTCGTCTCGAGAAGGTATTATTAGTATCAAATGCGGTCTTTCCCATAAACTTTCAAGTTTGTTTCAATATACACTTTGCGCAAAACATATCCCCTGCTTTTTATTCAGTTAATAGGAGCAGGCGAGGATGATGATTTCTCGGTTGTTGATGGCAAGCCGGTCAGAACAGATAAGAAGAAGGCTAATGGTGCAGAATCTTCCGGGAAAAAATCAAGCAAGAACTCAGTGAAGGAAGCTAAAAAGAAAACAAAGAACAGAGTTGGATCCTACGCGGCTCAGCCCTTAACCTTCATCTCGAGAGGCAATATGGACGCTGAGATAACCAAGTCCAAATCATTCGACGCTAAAACTGAACCAGTATCTGACCAGGTAGAATACGGAAAATTCGAGATGCACACTACTGGTTTCGGCTCAAAAATGATGGCCAGGATGGGATATGTCGAAGGTGAGGGCTTAGGTAAAGACGGTCAGGGCATGGCGGAGCCCATCCGAGTGTCCATAAGGCCTAAATCCCTAGGGTTGGGCGCAGAGCTTCCGGAAGCTTCCAGCACACCGCCAGCCGTTCAACCCCGGAACAAGTCAGTCGCATCGAGTTCCAAATCCTCCTCCGGGGCAAAAGGCAAATCAGCGAAAAATGAAAGCCCTAGATTTGTTTCGGTTGAAAAGCACAGCAAAGAATTCTCAAGGCACGGTGAAACCGTTAGTCGCAGTCCAGCGCCCGAAATCCGTGGAACTCGGCGTCAAAACCTGAATTCTTTAAAGCCTCATATTATGTAGTAATAATTCCGAGCAGTTACTCTACAATGTCTCACATCACTTGTTCTCTGTTAATCAGTCAAGTCGAGCTAAATACTTGATAATTAGTGCACTTGATCCGAACTCAGTATCTTAACTGCTGATAACTAGTAAAATATATACTTGTTTGTCCCGGCAGCTTAAGACATGGCCGTGTTCAATTACAATTCCAAGAACAATGGGATCGTGGAATTAGACTCAATTCAACGCATCCTCGGCCATCATTTGTCATAGCTGTCTTAAGATGAATCAAAAATATTTCTGTAAATTTCATCTGCAGTCGATCGACTTATTGTAGTAGAACGAGAGAAGTGAGACACTGAAGAGTAAAATGCTAAGAATTATTCCTACGAAAGAGGCTTGTGCCTAGTGGCATCCAATATTCATCATCGTTTTCGACTAGAACAACTTGGTGTGCTTTCAAATGAAGCAAATTTAGGACTAACATTTTTCGCCGAATTACCTTTTGCCCTGGTGAACTTGGAAATATATTCATATCAAATATTGGCGGGTATTTTTGAACCGAAACTAGTAGTGTGCATCTCAAGTGTACCGTATTCTACCTTGATTTTCCCCCCCCGATGATTATGCGACAACCGTTAGTGTTGGTGCTAACTCGGATAACTTTCTTCGTATCCACCATCGACAGTTGAGAAATCATTGTCTTTGACATCGGCCCCGATCAATTGAAAGAAAAGTAGATTATATTGTCCCGTAGGGGATGGTTTGATGGTGTGGATGAGTGAATTTGTGACCGTAAGATCATAACTTTAAACTCCAACGCCTCCAGATCCATCTGCTACACATGATTCCATGAGTTGGACCTCACCTAACTCACAAAGAATATTCAAATAGTAGTTTTTTATTTTTACTTTTTTTTTTTTTCAAAAGTTTCCAAAAGTATTGAAAATGATATAACTTAATTCCCATGTTCATGCAATCATACATTTTCGCTCCTGATGGTCCAAATATAAATTGATTCAAATTTCGGAATCAATGGCTTAGTAGATAACTATAATTTGTAACAATGATAACTATTTCAAGTTTAAATAATCTAATATAGAAAATTGCAACACACTTGGCCTAAAAAAGAACAACACATTAATAAGTTTTTTAATCGATTCGTAGACCTTAGAGTAGAACAAAATCAATTGCAATAACTCTTTCTTGCATCCATATACAGATACATTTCATTCAAGATACAAATAAAATTTCATCCCTTTCGACCCCAAATACAGTACCAACAATCGTCTCTATATACAACACTAATCAATTATCAATTTCTCCCCGTACAAATCTATCGTCTCATATATGTATTTTACCAGTATCAAAAAGCAAGATTAGTAAAGCAATACAAATTTGAAGTCGCTTCAAATTAAAATCAATTTGTAGGCCTCCATCGTATATCTTCTTGATAAGTCGCTTGGAAGCTTTAGCAATAAAAAGACATATGCCACACAAACCCAAACTGTTACGGCAAGAACAGTGATCCACAAATTAGTAAACCATAGAAATGTAAAGAAAAATCAATAGATAAATATAGTAAAGGGGAAGAAGAAGAAAAAAAAAAGGAAAAAAAAAAGAAAGGAAGAAATTAGGGAAAAGAAAGAAATTTGAAGAAACGTGTGTAGGAATGAGGAGGGTAAATCTTTTTATAGACCAATAATTACATTCACACTATCCTATAATATGCTAAAATATACAACTATAAAAGCTATATGCACAAAAACGGTCCATCTCTAATTAATTTAACGGCTAAATTTGTCGATTTATAACTAATATTAATTAATTATGGTATTAATTTCATGATTTATGTACTTGATTTAAGCATTGTAAATATAAAAAATATATAATTATATAAATTATTTTTTATTTGGCTGGATAAATTATTTCATACGAAAATAATTAATTTTTCTTTTAATATCACTAGTTCGAAGTATAAAATCGTCCAAAATAAATAAATAAATGTGTGCAACAATATGTATCAATTTAAAAAAGATCAAACCTATATATTTTAAAATGTTAGGAATGAAAATTACATTAATTTTGCTTTAAATCATGGGAAGTTTTCGTGTCTGAAAGTAAATTTTTATAATTTTGTTTTTATCACATCATATATTTATTTTATAAACATCATCTTCGAAGGCATAATAAAACATTTATATAATAGACTGTCATCATTTCATCATGCCTATTTTCGACAAACAAATATATTATTCTTTAGTTATAATTATTTTCGAGATATATATACTACTTTTTTAATTTTTCAATATTATAAACTTTTCAATTCTTATATCCTCATAAAAAAATTGAAAAAATGTTTGACATTATTTTTTAATATATTTTTTTATATCCTTTTTTCAAATTTTCATAAATAGTGAATACAATTTTGAACTACAAAAATCTATTTAGATTGTTTTATAAACTTAAAATTTAGTCATTCTTAATTAAATAAATCAACAGAAAATTAATATATATTTATATTATGGAAAATATTAAATTTATTGATTATAATACTATAAAATTGACCTATAATTTAGTAAATATAATCTACTTTATTTATCCACCTAAAATATATGACATTAATTATGAAACTAATTTATACATATAATTTTTATTTCCAAAAAAATTAAGCCAATAAATCGAATAATTTTATTCTTCTGAAATATTATTTAGAAATATTATTGATAAATTGTAAGATATGAATAATATTACCTTCGTCCAGTTTTAAGGTTCCATTTACTTTTTGCGTGTTGATATTTGAATATTAATTATTATATCAAAATATAGTACAAATTAAGAAAAAATTACAAAAATACTTTCATTAGTGTCATAATACTAATAGAAAAATATTTGTACAAAAAATGATTCAAATGTATGGATATTTTTAATGTTAAGTACAATGACACAAATGTAAATATGACCGTTAGAGACGGATAAAGTATCATTATCATGTAATAAATATATCATTATCATGTATAACAATCCACCTTATTTACTCGTGTAGACTACTATGACCTGACGACAAAATTTTTTTGAGCTCCAATGATGCATACATATCTACACTTATAGACTATGGTGACTGAACAACGGCAACTTTTTAAGCCGTCGGCGACCATGAATACAGATTTACGCTCGAAAGCTAATTATCAAAATAAAAAATTGTTCCAAATATCATTTTTGCGTAGAACAATTAGTATATTCAATATTTACACGCAGAATATAATTGCTGACTGGTACACCAACAAAACTATTATATTTTCAAAAATATATATTACAATGATCATTTTTCGCACAAGATAATTAGCATATCCATCTAAACTAGAAACATATACTTCCGAGAAGAATAACAATAAATTAATCATGTTTTCGAAATTAAAGTGTCCCAAATATTTTTTAACCACGATGTAATCGAAAACAACCATCTATGTTTCATAGGCATTAACCACATCATGCATCTAGACCTTAGAAATAGTAATCCAAGAAGTATATCTATCAACGAGCCTTTAATCTCTCTCTATCTCGACCTCGCATGATACTTTCTTTGGTTGTTTAGGATCAGTTCCACACCCATCGCCATTAATTATCTATGTAAAAGGCCTTTAAAACAGGTTTGTCTTATAAAATACTACAAAGAAGTACCATTGGAGCGAAAAAGTTTCTCGTGGTTGATATCAACAACCCCCTCGGCACACATGGGAATTGAATGTAATTGCTTTTTGTGGCCTTCCGCTTAGTCGACGCCTCAACATCTATCTTTGATTCCGCCGTTGATGCTCTATTGCGCGGATTAGATATAATGAGAGATACATAATATGAGGCTCGAAAGAATTCAGGTTTTGGCGCCGAGTCCCATGGATTTCGGGCGCCGGACTGCGACTAACAATTTCAACATGCCTTGAGAATCCTTTGGTGTGCTTTTCAACCGAAAAAAATCTAGGGCTTTCATTTTTCGCTGATTTGGCTTTTGCGCCGGAGGAGGATTTGGAACTGGATGCGACTGACTTGTACCGAGGTTGAGCGGCTGGCGGCGTGCTGGAAACTTCCGGAAGCTCTGCGCCCAACCCGAGGGATTCAGGCCTTATGGACACTTGGATGGGCTCGGCCATGCCCTGACCGTCTTTACCTAAGCCCTCACCTTCCACATATCCCATCTTGGCCATCATTTTTGAGCTGAAACCAGTAGTGTACATCTCGAATGCGCCGTATTCTGCCTTGTCAGATACTGCTTCGGTTTCAGAGTCGAATGATTTGGACTTGGTTATTTCATCGTCCATATTACCTCTCGAGACGAAGGTTAAGGGCTGAGCCGGGTAGGATCCAACTCTCTTCCTCGTTTTCTTTTTGGTTTCCTTACCGCGTAGGATCAAATTGAAAAAATCAAGCAAAAACTCGGGTAAGGAAGCCAAAAAGAAAACGAGGAAGAGAGTTGGATCCTATGCGGCTCAGCCCTTAACCTTCATCTCGAGAGGCAATATGGACACTGAGATAACCAAGTCCAAATCATTCGACGCTAAAACCGAACCAGTATCTGACAAGGTAGAATACGGTAAATTCGAGATGCACACTACTGGTTTCGGCTCAAAAATGATGGCCAGGATGGGATATGTCGAAGGTGAGGGCTTAGGTAAAGACGGTCAGGGCATGGCCGAGCCCATCCGAGTGTCCATAAGGCCTAAATCCCTCGGGTTGGGCGCAGAGCTTCCGGAAGCTTCCAGCACGCCGCCAGCCGTTCAACCCCGGAACAAGTCAGTCGCATCGAGTTCCAAATCCTCCTCCGGGGCAAAAGGCAAATCAGCGAAAAATGAAAGCCCTAGATTTGTTTCGGTTGAAAAGCACAGCAAAGAATTCTCAAGGCACGGTGAAACCGTTAGTCGCAGTGCAGCACCCGAAATCCGTGGGACTCGGCGTCAAAACCTGAATTCTTTAAAGCCTCATATTATGTAGTAATAATTCCGAGCAGTTACTCTACAATGTCTCACATCTCTTGTTCTCTGTTAATCAGTCAAGTCGAGCTAAATACTTGATAATTAGTGCACTTGATCCGAACTCAGTATCTTAACTGCTG